CTAGTAACAATTTCATTAGGCCAGCTGCGATGATGTTTTAGCACAAGTGGAACCAAGATACTAAGATACTTTCAATGCTTAAACGAGGGTGAAAAGTGGCGACTAATTAGCGTCAAGTGTCATGAGTCGCCGCCTGTGGTGGGGTGAGCTCATTTGTTTGCTTTACTTTGCTTTGCATTTTATGTAATGCAATATTTAATCAGCTGCCATTGCATTCTAAATTTAAATTTAAATTCCTCGCTTCAGTTTGCGGCGCGTGCACGAAAATTCCATTGAACTTGAATGCTGGGCAGGTTGCTTTTGGATTGGATTTGGATTTTTTCGTATTGGTTTGGGTTTTTCGGTCGGTCTCCACCTGTGTGCAGGAAGTCGCGTTCGGTGCTTAAGTCTTTTGATTATGTCGGAAACGCTCTTAAAATATGAGTTAATGTGCGACGTTGTAAATTCCATGTGACTACGTGATCTCGGGCCCAACAACTACATAATCCTCTTCTAATGATCCATTAATCAACAAAGTGTGGCCAAACACAATGTTGTGATCGCTGGTGATTATCTAATATCAAAGATGACAGGGCGAGATCTGTATTACATTAACTAAGTAACTAACTATCATCGACTGTATCTAGCATAGGCAAATATACAAACCATTTGTATAATCGCTCATTCAAAGGCCAAGTTCAAACCGCACCCCCTCTATAAAACATTGTCTTAATGGCAAACCACAAACATATATTGACAACTAAGGCCGGCAGCTCAGAAAACCAAAAAAAAAAGAGAAAAAATCCAGAGGCACAGGTTCAATGAACGGCGGCCAAGGGAACGCTATTTTTAAGTTCGATTTAATTTGATTTGTTCGCATTAATTGCGCGGATATCTTTCTCCCCAGTTGATTCACAAACGGAAGTCCAAGTAACTCAACTCCCTGACTAACCGACTAAGGAGATTCTTGCAATTTGAACGGGGAATCGGTGCAAGGCTTGTAATTTAAATTTAGAAAGTAAAAGGCGCATTATGTGTGATAAACAAATGCCTGAACACCGAGCACTGAATGCTGGCTGACTAAGCGACTCAGACTCGCAAACTGATTGCATGTTATTTGCACATTTTCCTTGATTTACACCGCCGCCGCACTGCACACGAAATCAATAAAAGTCAATTTTAACGTGCCCATTACAGAAATGTAATGTAATAATTACACTACGCCAAGAACCATTTGTGACGGTGATTATATTATACAATGCCCTAAAGAGGCGATCGTGAAATGTTATTTAATTGTCTTTTGATTGGCACTGTTTTCTATCTATTTATATTCTATGTATTTGAAAACTAAGAAAACAAATTGAAATTAGTAAAATAGAGTCGGTGGATATTAAAGGGCCAATATTAAAAAAAAAATGTTAAATTTTATCTTTCTTGTAATATTTGCATATTTTAGTAACTGTTAGTCAGCTACTAAAATGTAAATAGTAATTTTATATGTAACTAAATTATCGATTACAATTTTCTTATTTATCCCATAATTAAAACTCAATTAGCTAATAAATTAAAGAAACTTCAGTTTGAATGTTCCCATATTATTTATAACTAGAATAATTTAAAAAGAAGAAAGGATAATCTTATGAATTTTAATCATATCAATTCCATCCTACTTTAATAAAGATACCTTTATATTATAGTCAACTTCTAAAATATTTACAAATTATAGCTTAATAAAATAAATATCTGCCAGGCTTGAATTAAATTCTAGACTATGAAATGCCTCAACCACCTTCGACCAGCTGATATACCCAATTAAACAGCACGTTCTGTTCAATCGCGAGAACTGAAAAAATATATACCTTGCCTATAGAATGGATTATAAAGCCTCCATAGCAACAATTACAGGTAAAACTGCATAAATTGAATGACCTTTTTGGTCACCAACGTAACGACGACGCACAATATTGTTTTAATTTTTTTTTTTTCAATTTTCCGACTCTTCCAACATGATTATTATGTAGTATTTGTTTAGTTCTAACTCCAGCGACGAGCTCGTAAATTATGCAGTACTGCAACACATAAATCTCGAGCCGGAGGCTATTTTAGAATGCCTCCGCTTGCCGGCAGGTGAAAATCGCAGCGTGACTAAACACAATGACGGACCATGTACGGTGGGCGGACTGCCACGCCTATTTTCGGGCCAATTAGAATACCTCGATATCTGAATATCTGAAATTCTCAGGTTAATCGACAAAGGCAAAGCCAAATGCTGCGCTTGCGTGTCAATAACATCGAAAGAATTTCGCGCACAAAATTATAACAATCGTTACGCAACTGCCGGCATTTAATTAACAAATTGCAATTTAAATATTCTCGAATTTATTATGCACACTTGCATTTCATTATAAAATTTTAAATGTTTGCTGCGCGCCGGTTTGACTTGTATTTTTTTGGTGCTGTGTGTTTGCTTTAATTTCCATACATTTTCAAAATCGTTTCGATCGCTGGTGAATAAACCAATTAACATGCACAATAATTGTTATAAATAAAAATCAAATCAACAGGTTCTAACCGGATGAAAATTTCGCTTACCACCGGCAAACAAAGTGGCTCAGTTCAGTTCAGCGATCATTAATCACAATAACTTGGTACAACTTATAAATAGAAGCATGACTCAAATATATAGATTACGAGGTATTAATGGGTGTTGAAAAGCAATGTAATGGGTCCGCTATCCGCTAATTGCCGGATAAACCCAGGCAAAGAAGAGGGCATTGGATCAGAACAGGGGCTACAGTTAGTCACGCACCGTGTTTTGGGTTAAGATTTTTTTGTATTTTGTATTATATTTAATTAGCGGCATGTTCGGGGTAATTGGGTGTTTTTCCTTAACCTGCTTTGCAACACGTCATCCGTCCGGAGTTTTGACCTCTCACCCCGGGGAATTTGCCCTCTCGAAAAGTCAAGATTCCTGGCACTCCACTCCACTCCGCTCTTCAAGAAAATGCTGTAATCGCATTGTCGATGATAATTAAATCTGATCAATTGCTTTCAGCGATTTGATTCGATCCGATGTGAAAGCCTTTGGTTCCAGAGGCCGGTAAATGGCACAGTGCATTAGCAACACGCTTCCCGACTTCGTGCCCCCCAGCCAGAAGACCTGCACAGATGATCGATGGCGCTGTAAGCCATATATAGAATATATAGTAATCAAGCACAGCTGTCTGCAATTGGCGTCTGGGAATTGGAAACTGGGAACACCGACCAGCTGGTGAAGGGCAGCAGTCGCGATCTCCGGACTGCAATTGTATGCAAATGAACGCGTGCCGTGTCGAGAGGCTCAAGCTCAAGCTCAAATTGCATAATAATTGTTGGGCGAAATTATCGCCTTGATTCGAAACATGGCTTCTTTGGACTTTTTTTCGTACAATATGCAATAGAATTCTTTATTGTAATTTACTCTTGTTGTTGTTGCTGCCGTGGCCTATACATACAGATTTATGTATAATGTGCTCTCGCTGCACTTACTGCATATAATATATATGTTTGTGTATATATATATATATATAATTTATGTATATATATTCATTATTAATATAATATTTAGCTTGTGGTTCTTTAAATATGTTTGTTGCTGCTCTTTTATGCTCTAGGTACCGTCTCTTCGCAATTTCGCAATCGCTCCTCTTCCATTTGTGTTTTTATCAACTATGTTATCGTAATGAAATTTAAAATTTACGTTTGCAAAACGAAAGCTTTAACAACTTAACTGAATACGGGTTCTCTTGTTTATTGTTTTCACTATATAATATATATATATATTTATTAATAATATTATGGGCGCTCGGTTAATGCGTTTCTTTCTCGTTTCATCTGCTCTGTTCGCTTTTTTATAGCGACTAAGACACTTTTTCATTAATATTTCATAATTTTCAATTGTTTTGCTTTTCGTCAAATCTATATCGATTTCTACATCGTTTAAAGCTACAATTTGAGATGTGTAAAAACGAGAAGTTTTTACTTCTTCTTTTATGTACAGCAAATGTTTTGTTTTCTTTTTAGGTTTTGGGAAATGGGAGGGGATGTGGGACTGAGGCGGAATGTTGCACATATGTGAGCTCTGTGGGTTTACATTGGTTTATTTTACTTGATGTGGGGAGGGGGGCTTAATGATTAAACCGTAATTTTTACTTAGCATATTTAACAAAAATTTATACATCTGCTTGGCGTTCTACAAACTAAAAGTATTTCCCTCGCTTAGATTTCGTTTTTAGCTTTAGTTGTGTTGCGAATCTCTTTGTTTAGTTGGATTAATAAATATTTCAACAAATCGCCCGCATCACGAATCGATAATAGTTTATAATAGTCATAGTACATAATCAATAGTAATAAAATTAATAATCGTAGTTAATTTACACGAGTTCTATAGTTACGAGTTAAATTCTGGATAAAAACTAAAAGCTAATTATAGTCAGGGGGAGCTTTAGAGTAATTCTTTGAATTTTTGCATTATTTCTCTTTCGCTTTTCTGCTTAGTTTCTTTTGTTAAGCATTTAAAACAAATTAAGTTCAATTAAATTAGATTAGAGGCCTAATTAGCTACACCGATTAAAATTAATTGTCATTAACAAAAGGCTTAGAACCTAAAGACTACTAAAAGATCGTAAAACTAAAGACCAACAAACTTGCTATTTAGGCGTGGCCAAAGTCCAGGGCGCAACTGCAGTCAAAGGAAACATTGCACAAAATGAAATTGGTCATAGAATACAACAAATGAAAATCGCGGGAGGTTTTCGGGGCAGTGGAATTCGAGTCTCGCAAATGAATATCAAATATCAGTACAAAACAATCACGCCTTCAGAAGATTACTTTACTTGTTCACACAATTTAGCTTCTTTAGGAAAATATATGCACCACATCTTTGTTTCTCTAAACTAAAAAGGTGTCAAATTGAATAATTTGCAACTTCGAATTAGTTAAAGCAAGAAAATAGATCCACCTTCTAGCATAAAAAAACAAAGGTGAGTGTAAAAAGCGAGTTTTAAAAAATAAAATATGTTCTAAAATGGAAACGAAAACGCTGGTGTTTGTTAACCTCTTTGGAACCAATTTGTGTGTGGATCTGAAACCTTTCTAAGCCTGTAGACTCCTTCGATCTCATCGCTGTGTGGCTGCTGTCGTCGCCGAGGCTGCCGCTAATCCCGATGCTGTTCCAGTTGCCGCCCCCGTCAGGTCGTCTCCTTGGAGATCCACGTTGGCGGCACTGGCGTACTGCTAAAACCATGACTGCCGGTTGATGTCGTACGGCTTCGGCATCCCCAAAGCGGCTCGTTGATAGGCGGACGGCGGCGGTGGCGGTTGTCCATATCCCGCAGCTGCCGCCGCCGCTGCTGGCCCACCGAGCAGACTTTGGTTGAAGATCATTCGCGTGTGGAAGTCATCGCGTCGTAGATACTGCTGATACAGCTGCGAATTGGGATCCGCAAACGGATAGGCAGCTGCCGCCGCGGCTGCCCGCGATGAAGGATGCGCCGCCGCCAAAAAGGGATACGATCCGGCTGCCGAGTTCAGCGGATTCTGACTCTTGTCCGCTGCATTCGCACTTGGATTCGCCGACGCTCCACTGTGTGCCGGCGCCGGTGGCATATAGTACGGATTGGGCGCGTCCCGAAATTGATCCAAATAACTGCTGGCGGCTGCTGCTTGATCCCCGTACAAGCCCAGAGCTCCTGGAGTGGGTGCGAAATTGAAGGCACTCCCCGGCACTCCCATGCCACCCGTAGATGTTTTCAACGAAATGGCTGCCGCATCGGCGGCCGTCTGATTGCTGGTCGTTCCACTACTTGGCGGCGTTGCTGCTGCTGCTGCGCTGCCCACTGGCGAGGATACTCCGCCGGACTTGAGACCCGCATACAATTGAAAGCCTTGGTGCAGCGCCTGCGCATGCGCCTGCAGCTGATTATTGGTGGCAGCGGCCGCAGATTGTAGTGTATTGTATTGCGGCATCGACTGGTGTTGCTGCTGCTGTTGAGCGGCCACCTGTTGTTGTTGCTGCTGCTGGACTGCTACTTGTTGCTGCTGATGCTGCTGCTGTTGGGCGGCGACTTGTTGCTGCTGTTGCGCCTGCTGCTGCTGCTGTTGTTGCTGCTGCTGCTGCTGCTTGGCCGCTGCAGCCGCTGCTTCTGCCGCAATTGTGGCTGCCTTCTTTTTTCTGCCCCTTTTCGCTGGAGCCTTGACTTCTGCAGGGGCAACTGGAGCTGCCTGTTGCTGCTGTTGTGGCTGTTGTGCCTGCTGGTGAGCGGGATTGTTGTTGCCGGGAACATAATTACCCGGCAGCTGCTGGGCAGGATTCCCATATGCCGAAGCTGCTGAGCTGGAGGCACTGTACATGTGAGCTGCCGGCGGCATGGTCTTGTCGAAATAGTTTCCAGCATAACCCAACATCGATTGCATCAGGGGATTACTGTAGGTTTGCGGAGGAGGCGGCGTTGGTTTGTTGTAGGCGGCCAGGTGATGCGTTTGGCTGAGATGATGCTGGTGGGCGGTTGAGGGCAGGTTCATCATGTTGCTACTTGCATCGCCACCTACAGCAGAAGAAGCCACTGCCGCTTGTGTTGCTGGCGGTTTTTCCGGCACTGCAGATTGCTGTGCGCTATAATTGTGGTTAATCTGTGTCTGCTGTTGCTGATAGTTAAGTTGTTGCTGCGACTGTTGCTGCTGCTGCTGCTGCGACAACTTTTGAGACTGCGTTTGCTGCTGCTGCTGCTGGTAGTTTTGACTTAGCGCCGCCTGAAGCTGCGTGAGATGTGGCTGCGTTTGCTGCGCTTGCTGCTGAGGTTGCTGCTGCGTTTGCTGGCTTGCCTGCTGCTTGTTGGTGGCCACTTGTGGCGACTGCTGTTGCTGTTGCTGCTGCTGCTGCAGCTGACAGCTGTTGTCCTTGGCAAAATCCTTGGGGAAACCCATGGCCGCCGCTCGGTTATACATCTCAAATGCCTTGTCCGGTGCAATGTTTCCAATCGGCTTGCCAAAAGCCATGGAACCCAGGAAACTATTAAACATTTGCTGTTGCTTGTTGAGCAGGGATTGAGTTTGGTTCTGGTTTTGTTGCTGCTGTTGCTGCTGCTGTTGTTGCTGCTGTAATTGCGGCTGCTGTGCCGGAGTTTCGTCTATTTTTGGCATTTTATTGGCCGCATTTCCACTGTAATCCATGCCAATTTCCTCGCCCGGTCGTTTTAGTGGATTTATCAGAGTATCCGTTTTGGGAGGCTGTTGCATTTGATGCTGCATAAATGTGGCCATATCGCTGCCGTAAGTTGGTGGCACAATCTTTTGCTGCTGCTGCTGTTGTTGTTGTTGTTGCAGAGTATCCACTGCATCTGCTGCAGCTGCCGCATTAGCAGCGGCATTAGTCGACTGATATTGCGCATAGGTTGGATATTTCGGTTTATGTTGCTGCTGATGGCCCAGCACCTGTGGTTGTTGCTGTTGCTGTTGAAGTTGCTGCTGCTGAGGTGTCTGCAACTGTTGCTGCTGCTGTTGTTGTGGTGCCTGCTGTTGCTGCGGTGTTTGCAACTGCTGCTGCTGCTGTTGAGGTGTTGCCTGTAATTGCTGCTGCTGTTGGGCGGTTGCTTGTAATTGCTGCTGCTGCGTCGCCTGCATTTGTGGCTGCTGTTGCAACTGCCCAGCTTGTTGCTGCTGCTGCTGCTGCTGCTGTGTTGCTTGATTTACAGTATTCGTAATACTCGGCGGCAAAAGGCTGCGATTCAGACTCCAGTCATTATTGGGCTTCGTTATGGAGGCAGTTGAAGATGCGGCTGTCGGCAGAGGATTAATCAAAGTGGCTGGATTGTACAGGGATCGCTGTTGCTGCTGAAGTTGCTGGTAGCTATCGTGAGGCGTGGGCGCATAACCATTGTTGCTCAGAGCTGAAATAAAGAGCGCATTTAGTAGAGGTTTGAATTGTTAAGGAGATGAAAACCTAATGTTATATTCTATATTAATTTTTCAAAAACCGCGAATTCTTTAGAACAAGAGAATATGGATCATGCATCTGGAATATTTGAAGACCACAAGAATTCGCATGGGCGGTAGAAGTTAAAACAATTGCTGATATATCGTATTCTTTAATTTTAAATATTATACACAAATAACCACCTTGACTTTAAGAATTCGCGACGGATCGGTGAGCTGTGAAAATTGTGATCATCGTCTTATTTCAAATCGTGTTTTTTAAAAATAGTTTTTTTTATAAAACTCATAATTATTAGCATGAGTTCTTTGGGTAACCTCAAACCCGAACTGATCTACTTGAAACCCATTTGGCTTGGGTCGTTTGAGTTTGGGTAAATGGGTAATATTTTACCCAGCCCAAACGACCTGAAAATTTTAAAAGAAAGCCTGTTTGGGTACCCAAATAACCCATTTTGAATACCCACCCATGCAGGGCTGGGTACCCAAATAACCCATTTTGAATACCCACCCATGCAGGGCTCTAATGAAAACTTACCCGTTGAGGCCACAGCTCCTGTTGCCGGTTGAACTGGCGGAACCACGGGCGGCTGCACCTGTTGCACCTGCGGCTGCTGATAGGGCGAGAGTACAGGCTGCTGATACGGCGAGTGCTGCTGCTCCGCCGGCGACTGAGCCAACGGCGTGGGCGGTTGGGTGGCTGCCGAGGATGCAGGCGATTCCACACTGTGCATCGGACTGAGGGCCTGCTGATGGGCCGCCGGACTGTGAGAGGGCTGCTGCGAGGATTGCTGCTGTTGCGGCTGCTTAGCGGCGGGCGGATGATATGGTGAGTGCTGCTGTTGGTGGTACGGCGACTGGCCATGATATGGCGACGGGTGCGTCGATTGCGATTGCTGCGGGGTGGTGTACGGAGAACTCTGGGGCTGTTGATAAGGCGAATGCGGGTTGGGGGTGCTGGGACTCATCGAGGAGTTGTAGTCCGATTCCTGGGAGCGCGGCTGCTTGTACTGGTCGTAAATGGGAAGCGGAGATGTGGAAGAATAGGCCGGAGTCTTGGAGGCCTCAGAGCCCGAGGGATTGTAGCTGTTTCCACCGCCATACGGCGATGTGCCACTCATATCCGGCGTGGAGACATTGGGCGACGAGGCGGAGGAGTAGATATGCTGGGAGTATTGGGGATACGGAGAGTTCATCTCCCGGGGACTGCAGCTCTTGTCGGGACTGCTTTTGGTCGTGGTGTCCTGGTAGAAGCCCACCTTGATAGCTCCATTTAGAGGGTAAGGAGAGGCTGGTTTACCCATATCATCGTTGGGCTTGGGCGAAACCATAATGGGCGAGGCTCCAATGGGTGAGGCACCAATTGGCGAGGTGTAAGAACCAGCTGCATACGATCCATACCGCTCATCGATGGCTATTCTCGGGGAATCAGGGTCCTGGCTAAAGGAACTTCTCTCGGAATTCGTGCTGCCCGTGCTCGGTTTCCTTTGCCGCATCACCGTTGGCAGTGAGAAGTTGTTATCCCCGGCAGGTGAATGAGCTGGCGGAGCCACCTTTGCATCCCCTTGGAGATCTGGGACTTGGTTCGCTTGCTTCTCCTCCTCCTCGGACTTCTTGCTAACCTTTGGACCACCGAACGCCTTTAGCCAGGCGCTCAAATTGGGCTTCTCCTTCTGACTTGCTTCGCTTTTTGCTGATTCCGAGGATTTGCCAATTTTGCTGAGCTCAAGCAGAGCTTCAAATGGTTTTGGTGCCTCTTTGTTCGGTGTTGTGGGTGTCGATGGATTCTCTGACTTGGCTTCCTCATTTGCAACATCATCTTCATCCGTTGGTTTGTTTCCGGACATTTCCTCAAGGCTTTTGCCCAGCGAAAAGTCCTGTGTCTTAAGAACCGTACCCAAACTTAATTTTGGAGCTCCCTCGCAAGTTTCCGTGATGAGAGCATTCTTCAGCTCCTTGACCTTGGTGGCCACTGGATTAACTGCATGAGAGTCGCCACCCTCCTCCGTTGATTTCCCGGCTGCCACGTTCTGCAAAAGATTTCCCTTTGCCTTGCCCGGTTGGAGCCGTTCGATCGTCCTCATCACATTCGTCTTGGCCTTCACTTGCTGCGCTTGGGCTGCCTGGGCCGCCTGCTTTTCCTTAAGCGACTTCCTCTTGGCCTCCTTGGCCAGCTGCTGCTTGATGTGCGGCGGCGGCGGTGGATTGAGGATGAGCTGCGTGGTACTTGGCTCCTTGGGTTTGGGAATCGGAAGAAGTGATGGCGGAGGAGCTGCAGGTGTTGGCGTCGCAGGTGCAGTTGCAGTTGCCACGGGCAAAGGAGTGGGCATCGAATTATTAGAGCAATTCGAACTGGAGGCCGCAGTGGCGGATGTGCTGCCAATGGAGTTGCCCGAGTGCATCGAATGCGGCGGCGTTCCGCAGCTGCTGCTCACACTGCTCGGCGTTGGGGCCACGGATTCGGATTCCGACTTGCTAGCCGTCGCCTCTTTTGGCTCGCTCACCAGTTCATTGAGTGCCTCGGCCAGCTTAGTTGGTACCAACTCAACTTTTGGAGCAGCCAATGCCACGGGTCGTCGAAAATCAGCCGCATCCAGTTTGCTACCGATTCCAGAATCAAAATCATCCAATAGATTATTGTAGCGCGATGGCGAATTGCTGGCCGAACTGAATTCGGTGAAACGGGGCGTGTGCTCCAGCCAGCGATTTATGTCCTTGAGCGTCTGTTCCGTTTCCACATCCAAAGCCTCGAGATTTGTATTGTTGTTGGTCTGCGGCGTTTGGCCGCCGGCCGCCTTTTGAGCTGCCTTCTTGCCGGCGGTCTTCTTGCCGGAGGAACCCTTTTCACTTGGTTTGTCGGCAGGCTTTGGAGGCGGCGGCATTTGTTTGTCGGGTTTTCTCTTAGCTGCTGTTTTGCCTGGGACTTCTTTTGCCTTACTGACTGCTGGTGTGACTGCGGTAGTTGCAGGAGCAGGAGGTTCTTTTATTGCTTCCAAAGGAGCCACCGGTGCAGGTGATTTTTCTCTGGGAGCTTTCTCCACTACTTTGGGTTGCTCCTCCTTTTTCTTTGATTTTTCTGCCTGCTTTTCGGTATCGACTTTTGAAGCCTTTTCAGTTTTCTCCGATTTATCCGACTCTTTAGAACGCTTTTGGTCTTTGCTCTTCCGCCCGCGCTTGTGCTCCACAGGATCGGGCGACTTTTCGCGCTTCGCCGAGGCCTTTTTGCTCTCCCTGCTGCTTTTGGTGCTCGCTGGCTTGGAGTCCTCGGAGGGGGCAATGGAATTGGAGGCACTGGAACCACTCAGGGCAGCACGACTTCGTCGGTACTTGATCACATCGTACTTGTCCATGAAGGGCAGCAGCATCTCCAGTTCAGCCTGCTCGGCGGCGGCTGCAGCGGCGGCTGCCGAGAGGGGGGAATCCTCCTTGCCCTTCTTGTGCTTGGCGCTGCGGGATTTATCCTTGTCCTTCTCTTTCTCCTTGCTCTTCTTTTCCTTCTCCTTTTTCGAGCTCTCCCCCTTTTTCCCCTTCTTGGCCACCGGCGGACGCTCCGCGGAGCTAGCGCGACTGCTGCTCAGGGATCTAAAGTCCTCGTCAGACTCTCGGCAGGATCTCTCCTCATCCTCATCCGCTTCATCCTGATGGCGGGCACTTAGCTTAGTGGTTTCCGCGGTGGGAACCTTTTTCACGGTGGTCAGCAGCTCGGAGAGATCATCGTTAAGGGCACTTTTTGAGTATTTCTTGTGGAGATCAACCTTAAAGGGTGACATGCTGCGCGAGCGTGAGCTATCGCCATCTTCCTCGTCTTCCTCGGCAGGCTGATCATCGGCATCTTCCTCGAGGTCAGCGGCGGATTCGGCTAAGGCGGCCGCCGCCGTTGGTGGCAGCAGCTGCTTCTTGACATCCACCTCCGACTGATCGCTGTCCAGTGAGTCGTCTGCCTTCCCCTTGCGTCCACCTTTGCCCTTGCCCTTTACTTGCCGCTTGACTGGCGTGGGCATCTTTACTTTGGATTCAGCGGGCACCGATTTCTTCTTTTGCGCCGCTATCGTTCGAGCCGTGGGCTTGATCAGGGATTTGGTTTTGGCCAACGATATGTGGTCATCATCGCTGTAGTCCTCGCTCTCGCGACTGTCGCTGGGATCTGATTCCAGGTCGGATTCGGGTGCCAACTTCTTGGCCCCCTTTTTGGTCTTTTGCTGCTGTTTGCTGGGTTTCGAGTTGGACTTTTCGCTCTTAGCTTTGCGTCCCCGCTTGGATGAAGGTGCCTCCTTATCTTTTTCCTTATCTTTTTCTTTATCCTTCTCCTTATCTTTCTCCTTTTCCTTGGCCACCTTGCCCGCTTTGCTTTTCTTGCTGGCTGGCGGCGGAGGTGGAGCTGGTGGCGGCGTTGCTTCCCGCTCGTTCTCCAAATCCTCATCATCCGTTTCCACATCCGCCTTGCTCTTGGTCTTCTTTTTGCGTCTTTTGTCTTTTTCCTTACGCTTGCGTTTTAGGGCTTTCTGCGGGGCCTCCGCTTCGATTTCGCTGAGATCCTCCTCGCCGGTGCTTTCTGCACGTGTACCTGCTGGCGCTCCATCCTTCTCCGTCTCCTCCTTGGCCTTCTTGCTGAAGAACTTCTCGCGAAAGACGTTCATTTTGGAGTCGGCGGCGGGATAGCTGAGATTGGGATCATCGTCCTCGTCGTCGGAGAGATTATCAAAGTACTTTTTGGTGGCCTTCTCGAAAGCATCCTGCAGATTGTTAACCATCTCCGTGTATTCTGTAAAGGGAAATGGGAGTATTTAAATTTTAAAATTAAATTTTAGTTTTAAAAGTGATCTATACCATTGTTGTGCCCATTGTACAATCTGCAGTTGTTGACAATCAAGCGAAAGTCGTTGCGGAATTCACTGAATTTGTGATATTCACCACTGTCCAGCTTGTCCTCCATCTTCAAAAGATCCATGGGTCTGCAAAGGGCATTTTTAATAAGTTTTAAGTTAGGTAGTATTTTTTATTATTTACCTTCTGATGATCGAGTAATATCGTGGTGCTATATCCTCTTCCACGGGATCCACAAATGGCCAGGCATCGCGATGATTCTTCACGTAGACGAGCACCTTGTGCATCCCAATTTGCAGGACTTCCTCCGTTTCGGTGAAGCTAAGAATATTCGCATGATTGGAGGAGTTGTACGTTGAATTGTTGTTGTTTGTGGTTGTGTTTGTGGTTACTGGGTGGTGTGCTTGTTGTTGTGATGTGCTTGTTGCATTTGTTGTGTGATTATTATTATTGTTGTTGTTGTGGGTTAGGGAGTGGTGCGATTTATATTTATGTTTGTTACTGTACTGATAATGGTGGGTGTGATGTGAGTGGGTGGTTTGGTGGCTGTGATTATTCTGATTGTGATTATAATTCGAATTGTTATGATATCCCTGCGACGTTGTCGTTGTTGCTGTTGTTGTTGCCGATGCCGTCATTGAGTGGCTGTTGTTGTTGTTGTTGTGACTGTGGTGCGACGCGTGCTTATGGTTGTTGTTGTTGTTGTTAAGGCTGCTGTTGTTGTTGGTGGTGCTACGGTTGCTACTATTTACATGGCTACATTTTATCGGGTGGTTTTATTTTTTTGGGTTTTGATGAACAACAGTCGCAATGTTTTTTTTCGTTTGTTTTTTTTTGCGGGTGGGTACAAAAGTTTACAATAACAATGATAAAAATGTTAATCAATTGATCATTTTATATACAATTTGATGGGTGAGTGGATAACAACATGCAATAGGTTATAGATAAAACGGATTGCAAGAAATGGAAATAAATTTGGAACTTAGGGAATGAAAATGTAATGGAAAAGAAACCAAAACCACAGCAAAGGGCCCAAACTCAATAATCAAAATCAACAACAATACAGAGTTGAGCATCATGAATACTTTTATGCATGAAATATACAATTATACCTTGATTAAGTATTATCCAAATGGTGTTTAATGTCTTTCAAATGTTTTATTTTCAAAATAAATACTTTTAAGTTCTTTATAAAGGTGGTTTTGTTTTTTAAAATAATAATTTTCAGTTCATTATAAAGTTGGTGGTAATTTATCAAAAATTTGAATTGTTAGTATTTATTTTCTGGAAAATTTTGTTTTCAGTTCTTTGTTGCATTTTATGAGATTTGAAAGCCCTATCCTAAATTGATAGTATTTATTTGCGGGAGAATTTTGTTTTATTTTCAGCTCTTTATAAAGGTGGTTGTAAAGTATCAGATTTGATTTGTTTGTTTGGAAAATTTTGTACTTAAATAGGAAAATGATTTGTGGAGCATATTGTGATTTGGGATTCGTTTTGTTAATAAGTTTGTGCTTAATCAAGATGTACGTATATCTATGACATGATGCCCACACCTCCAACAGCAAGCAGAAGCATAAGGAATAATGGTAATCGCAAAAAAATATGCCGAGAGTAAATGGATAGTACGATTGTGTTGTGTCTGGGTATCGAAACTCTCCACCCGCACTTACTCATCGCCACTCTTGTCCGAGTAGGCACCGCTGTTTCGCTCCGCCTTGCTGGACGATGAGGACGCCGATGAACCCGCCGCCGCCGTCGACTTCTTGGACTTGCCGGCCGCCGCCGCCGCTTCCGCCTTGCTCAAGTTCCGATCCGCCTTATCCGCCACTTTGCTGGCGCTGCTGCTCCCGCTGCTGTTAAGCACCGCCTTCTGTTTCTTGGAGCGCACTGTGCTGGCGGTGGTGGTGGTGCCACTGTGACTGCTGCTGCTGCTGCTGCTCTGTGGCTCCTGCGATGGTTGCTGCTGCTGCTGTTGTTGCTGGGCGCTTCCTCCCGGTATGAATATGTTTCCAGTCAGCGAACTCAGTGAATTGTTTGTCTGCCTGCCGGGCAGCTTGACATTTGCCGCTGGCGCCATTGGAGAAGCTACTGCTGCTGGTGGCTCTGGCTCTGTCTCTGTTTCCACTGCTGCTGCCGGCTGCTCCTGCTCCGATTCGCTGTCATGTGCCACCGACGGCGAAGGCGAAGGCAGACTGAGATCGGCAATGCTGGTGGCCACCGCAATGGCCGCCGAGTTGGTGTCCAAAAGCTGCAGCTGCCTGCAAAAGTTCTCCTTGTCCTCGGGACTTAGAGAAGAAGTAGTGGTGGGCTGGCTGGCACTTTCTGGCTGCTGCTGCTGGCCACTTCGTCGTCGCTTTGGCTGCTGGTGCTGCTGGGCACTATTGTTGCTGCTGGTGCTATTGGTGTTGCTGTTGCTATTGCTGTTGCTGTTGTGGTGATTATTGTTGTCGTCCTCGCCTTCGTCTGCCTCTGAAGCATGCTTGTGTCGCCGCCGATGATGGTGATGATGCTCGCGATCCCGCTCACGATCTCTATCTCGATGGTGTCGCTTCTTCTGCTTCTTGCCCGACTTTTTCTTTTTGTGGTGATGGTGATGATGATGATGGTGGTGGTGACTGCTCTTGCTCTTCAATTCCGCCGGCGTTTGCGAATTCGGCGCTTCTGGAGAGCGAAAATCGTCGCCAGTTGCTGAGACAGCTAATAATTCCTCCGATTCCTGCCGCTGCTCCGCCTCCTCCTCTGGCTGCTGCTGCTGCTCCTCTTCTTGATGCTGCTCCGCGTCGAGGGCCTCGTCGTCGTCTTCCTCTTCGTCGTTTTCTGGCGAGAGGCAGAAGGTTTCCCTGTGGCACAGAAATTCGCTCGAATTAGTTGTGGTTGTTCGTCTGAGTGAGCTTGCGTAGGTTGAAATACCACTAGCCGTCGAAGTTGATTGGGATCTATAAGATAATGGATAAAAGAGAAAAACAATATTAATTATTATTATTAATAAGCTAACGATTTGTATCAACTAAATTTTGCGTGAATATCTGAAGATATGACAATAATATTCTGAAATTGTTTATGACATGCAATTTAATATTCATTTTAATTTGTTTAAGCTAATAAGAAGGCAATATGAGATTCAAAAAAAAAAAGAATAATCTTTTTTTTAAACATTTTTTAAATTATTTTTTTTTTAATATATTATTAACTGATAATAGAGCGATATTCGTGTGGCTTGTGAATGGGATGAAACTTAGAACTTGACTTTAAATCAACTTAAATAGAAATATATTAGAAAGCATGCTTACAGAGTTTTTTTGAAAACGAAATCCAACCAATTCTCCCATATACAAAATTAAATGATGGGCAAAACTCAAATTAAGTGCTGATCCTCGTTCCGTTTATCCTGGTCCCGGGTTTATCGTAGATGTTGTTTTGGTTTCTCTTTACTGCAGCAACACAAATTGTAAGCGAATAGTGTGTTGTTGGCTCAAGAAATCAAATAAAATGATGGCAACTCAAAAGATCAATTGAAAACATAAATCAAAGATGCTTTTGGTATGCAAATGTGTGCTGTTGGATGTATCTGTTTCGGTTTTGTTTCCTGTTTTTTGTGGGATGTGGGATGTGGCCGTCGCTTCCGCCAGCCTTCTTAGGAACATTGGCGTGCTAACCGTCTGCGTGTGCGCTGCAGGGATTGCTGCTGTTGTTGATGCTGTTGCTGTTGTTGTTGCTGTTGCTGTTGCTGCGGCGGTGCCAACCAGTGTGCGTTTTGCCGCTCCAGGCGCTGGCGCTCCTCCTCCTGCCGCTGGCGATCCTCCTCCTGACGCGCTTTCAACTCTGCGATGTTGCGAATGCGACTGGAGTTTCGCACTTGCAGAAGTCTGATATATAGATATATACAAAACCATTAGAAAATAGTATTGGTAAAGGAAATTTTATGCTAAACAACTTAAATTTTAACTATTTCACTCACTTTCTACGCCTCAAACGCTCACGCTCACGGAAAAGCTGCGGCAGCTTGGGCAGAAAGTTGTCATCGAGTATGTGGAAGAGTTCGCGCTCCTTGGCGTTCGTCGAGGTCTTAAACTTGGCGGCCAAATTCTGCCAGTCCTCCTCGGTGAAGCAGATGACCTGCCAGACTGTTTGGCCGTTGGTGTTGCCAATTCCCTTGCTGCCCGATGCTCCGCCAGTTGAGGCTCCGTCGCCTCCTGATCCCGAACTAGAACCTGCCGCTCCGCTGCCGCCGGTGGCCTTGTCCTCGCGATACAGCCGCGTGCCGTAAAAGTACCAATAGCCAGAGTTCTTGGCGTCGTAGCCCAGGGGCTCCACGCGCAGACTGTCCGCCTCTAGATTGCTGAGGATGACCTGCACATCGGCCGAGTCCAGGCGGAAGTGGCACAGATCGTGCAGGATGTGCAGGCGCTTGCGGACGGGCAGCGACTGGAAATCAATGTCCGTGTCGAAATGGTTCTCGGTCTGGTGCAGGCGACACTGTTGGCGCAGGAAGCGACGCAAGAACATCTGATAGTTGCTGTGTGTGATTTCCTTGGCTACCGACTGTAGCGCATCGCAGCCCTTGAGCAGGCGCACAATTAACTCGGGCACTAAGGCGACCTGATCCTCATCGCTGGTACCATCGGAGAGCAGCGCCGATTCGAGATCCTGTTGTTTGAATGGGTTTTATAAATAATACGGTAGTAAAGTTAATGCTGACCAACACTTACCTCGATGTCAATGTCGGGCAGATCAAAGGCGGAACTAAACAATGAACAGAAATGCGAAATACACGGTATCTCCCACCATGATTGAATGTCTGAAAAGAAGAAAATATTGTTTTATATTTTGTTGACTTATTAATTTTGCAGAATTTCTTTAACTTTTTTTATTAAAAATGTAAAATTTATAGAGGAGTTTGGTATTATTTATTTCTATTTACATTCATATTTTGTACAATTACTATTTATTTTAGAAATTAAAAGCAGAATTTATTATTCTATTTTTTAATACTATTTATTTATATTCATATTTTGTACGATAACTATTTATTTTTATAATTTAAGGCAGAATTTCTTTGGCTTTAAATAAAAAAAATCCTTTCAAGGTTAATTTAAAATGTAATTTTAAATAAGTACTTTAGGTCATTTTGATCTATTGATTTATCATTTTAATTTAAATATTAAAGATTTTAGGATATCTTTGAAAAATTCCTTTAAAAGTTTATCATGTTTAATTTAACGTAAAATTTAACGTAAGAAAATTTTTATCTATTTATTTATTAAAAAAATAAAATTGAATTATTTCTTTAGTATTACATAGTACCTATAATTTCCCCTTTTTAAACTCACCTAATAGACCAATAAAAGTAGAAACCATTTATGTATGCTTGCTTATTGGAAACGTTGCTCCTCTGCGGGATTTGAGATGTGACTAAAACAATTCCTGGGCCTCTTTGGTAGCTCTCTATGTGCAAGTCGGGCTGTGTATATAGTGGAATACATGTATGAATAATGGATGTTGTCAGGCGTTAACAAATTAGGCTCAAGTTACAAGACCGAAAGTCAAAAGGCGGCAAAAAGTGCGAGCGAAAAACGAAATGTGTGCAACATGTGTGTGCGTGTGAGTGTCGGGACATTTGGCGGCGATATATACACAAACATCTGGCTTTATCGCTTATCAAACATTGCGATGCACGCGAGGGGTTGGGCCGAGGGGCAGGGGGAGGGGGTCGGCCGAGTGGGTGGACGGTAGGTCAAAAGAAAGTACACGAGCACCCCTTTCGCGCGCTTATTTTCACGAAGAGAAAATCAAAACAGACAGCCGACAAACGGCCAAGGCGTGCGCCAGAGCGGGACGGCACTAGTGCGCCGAACCAATAGCCGAGCCGCTCACTTTTTCACGTTTGCCTGCCATCTCGCTCGCGCCTGCGGCCACTACTATTTTGACTACACTGCACTCGATTATTTTGCAATTATAATGTGCAATTTACACGGCTGGGCAGTTGGGTTTTTTTCTTTCTTTTGGCCACCGAAACGCACGCGATCTTAGGGTATAACATCTGGCATTTCGGCTAGGGAATTCGCGAATTATTGCGACCATTTAACTCCCAATTTTTGGGGCATGCGCGCGGCGGCTGACGACCGACGACGGCTTTTCTCCGCCTCTTGCTTTTTGCCTGCTGGCCAGTGTGTATTTATTTTTATTAATACACGTATATATATTTTTCAGTTACGTGCGAAAATGTCATTTAACTTTAGAGACGCCCATTTCCCAGCGTTTCTTCCTTTCTGTCTGCTTTCCCCCCGTCAATTTCTTTTTTCACACACACACGCACAGGCACGAAAGCGAAGGCACGCACACACTCACACGCCGAGGGGCTCCATCTGCCTTAAAATATTATTAATTACTTCACAACAACAGCGGAGAGCAGTAAACAAATCACTGCGGCTACTGGATTAAACACTCTGCTAACCCTTTTCGATCCCGTTGGTCTGGCTAGCTGCGCAGATACTTGCGAATCGCGTTTTTGCTCCTGGATAATCTTATTTTCCTCAGCGAGCGAGCAGCAAACGCGGTGAAGAGCTGTAAAATTTTCGATAAATCAGCGATGGGCTGGAATTCGTCAACACGCCAGGCATCGATAGTTCGCTGGCGATGGGCGGATGTGGTCTGAACGATAGTTTAATATGCTTGGTTTAAAAAAATATTATGGGAAATGAGCAGCACACTAATCAGAAAGTAATTAGAATAAATAAAAGGGGGATTCCCTAAACTGTTGAATTGCTGAATTGTTGAATTTTGGTCAGCTGTTAATCAGCTGTTCCATACAAAGCCAACTTTCAGAAATTTCAGCAATTCATCAGCCTCGGGGCTATTGAAAATTTTGTTGAATTGCTGAAAAGCCAGAGTTGTCACCTTTTTTTAAAAGTCGTGGCAACTCTGTAACATTTTAGTATCACCAGTACGCATTATTTATTTTAAAATAAACTTTGAAAGCATATTTGTGGTTCTTTTTACCTTGGTAACACTTTTAGAGAGTAACTAGCAATAATAAATCAAATTTTACATGCTTTAAGTTCCGTGAAATTTTTCAACAAATAACAGCTGTTTGAAAATTCAACAGGAACCGTTTTGGGTCGTTCCCTTAATTGCTGAAATTTTTTGTTGAATTTTCAACAATTCAGCAATTCAACAGTTTAGGGAATCCCCCTAAAATAAAAAATATGTTTTGCTTTAACAAACTATAAAATGGATAATAATCAAGGTGAGGCAATAAAAAAAACCAAATAATTCAAGTGTTATTAACTAATTTTAAAAACACCTATTTTTTTATGAAAATTCTATTTAATTTATATTTAAATATTTATTTTATAATCCCTCCAAATTGTCAACATTCCTTTGCCCCCTCATCGATACATCGATAACTTCCTGCCGTTTCGCTTTTCGCTCGCCATTCGCCTCTCCCCCATCGCCCCACCCCTTACTCTTCTCTCTTTTTTTCTTCCCTTCCTGCCCCCTCCACCTTTCGACCAGCTGTGAGTCTAACCTAACTTTTTGGCCCGCTAACTACATGGCGGCGTGCTGGTGTGTGTTGTTGCTTCGCATGCACGTGTGCGTGTGTGTGCGTGCAAGTCACCATGTAGGTTGCCATGTATATTCTAGAGTAACTACATGGCATAAATCGCGGGTTGAGGGGCTATCAATTAAAGATTAACCAAAATAATGCAAAACTATTAAAAGGAGCAAAGTAAATTTTGGGTATATTAAATATTTGGAATATTCTTTTGATTAATTTATGGTTATTTTACCCGAAGATAATTTATGTCCATAAATTTGCCCCGAGGAGTCCCACCATGTAGGTCACATCTACATGGCGATTCTAGCCTACATGGCGAGACATGCGAAACTGGTTTGGGCAAGGGCGGACTCTCGAAATCGGTTGTGAAATGAAATGGTCCGGAAAAGCCTCCCCAAGAACAAACAAATAACCCATTTTTTAACCCCATAAATGGAAATTCCCTTGACATGGCATTCGTTTTATATTATATATTAAAATATGGGTAATATAAACTAATTTTTTAAAAATTGAAAAAAAACATTTTTAAGATAAAAAAGGAAAAAAATATTTTAAATAAAAAAAAGTTTATCAGCTGACTCCGCTGAAATTAGACCAACTTTCTCCACTCCCCAAACAAATTTTCCTTTTCAAAAACCCTTACCAGTTTCTTGTATTTCATACATAGTATTGAAGTCTTTATTTTTTGTAAGTTTTAGTTTAGTTTTTAGTTTTTAGGGGCAAATGTTTAGATACATAGAGTACATAGAAATAACCAATGTAATGTGTAATGGCGTATTTACAGGTGTTGGTGTGGCAGCCGCAGCTGTGGCAGCTGTAGCAGCGCAGGCAGGTGGGGCATTTGCAGGGCGAGAATCGCCGGGTGCTACGGCTCGATCTTGCGAATCTTCAGGCCGCCGCTCGGTCCACGTGGCGTCGTTAGGTGGGGAACTCCGGCCGAAACTCCCGCCGCCGCCGCCGCTGTGCTCACCAGCTGGGGCATCAGTGCACCGCCATTGCTGCTGGCCTCGCCGTTGCCATTGCTGGGACTCGAAATGGATCCGTTTTGCAGACGCCGCTTCAGCACGAACCGCTTGCCAGTCGTGGCCGTCGTCGTCGTTGGAGCAGCGACTGTGGTTACAGCGGAGGTTTTCTCCTCGTTCACAGGATCCACTTCCATGTCGGTGCCGGCATTGTTCTCATCATGCTAGAAAAAAACCCTAAAGTTAGTCACCAAATCAGTTACAAATCCGATAAAAAAACCCACCAATTCACTTGTGGGCTCATCGTCGTCATGGCCCTCCTCCTCCTCGAACTCAGCGCTCTCCGTATCCTCGGGATACTCCACCAGCTGGCCGTTCAGCGTGGGGAACTCAATCACTGGCAGTATATGCCTTTGCTGCTGGTTGCCCTCGTCCATCAGCTGCTGGATGAGATTGGCGATATCCTCGCGCTTCTTGGTGACGGTGAGGAAATCAAACCAATTGGTCAGCTGCTTGATGGGCAGCCTATAGTCTCTAATGGGCTCGCTGAAGAACTGCTCCACATACTGCAGCAGATACAGGCCGCAATCGGTGAAATTGTTCTGCTGCGGCACCTTGACGCAGTGGCCCGGCATGTTGTCCTTGTTGAAGACGTGCGCCTGCGCATCCGGCTTCTTCACCCGATACTCGCATGTCAGATAGTCTCGCAGCGTGGCCACCACGCGACTTCGCGAGGCGCCGGCCAGGGAATCGAAGATGAGGATCAGAGGTTGCTTAACAGCGGGCACATCGTCGGAGGAGGCAATGTTCCTCGCTGGACCGCCACTGGGAGTCGATTGACTAGGCGTGCTGCTGGTGGTGGAATTTGCTGTCGTGCTGGTGGCTGGTTCCTTGGCCGAATTGGAGTTTTCGCTATCCTCCGAAGCCATGTCGCTGTCATCGCCCTCCGCCTCGTCCCTTTCGCTCTCGTCGTCGGCTATCCGGCAGACATTGTCCGCCGTCAGAGCCGCCGGCAGTTGCCCACCACTCTCACCCCTTTTTGTCAGCGGCGTGATGGTCGTGTTGCCAATCTGCAGCGACACCTTCTTGCCCCTCGGACGCTTCAAGTGCTGCGGCTCCACAGGCTGATTGGTATCAAAGGTTACGGGACCCTTAAGGTTGGGAAAACAGATGATGGCCAGGAACCAATGCGACTGCTCGTTGATGGGCACTATAATAAAGTCCTTGTCGAATATGTCCACCACCTTGGTCCATTTCTGCACTCGAGCGTGCCGTTTCTGTGCCGCCGTCTGCTTCATGTCCGCCGGACGCGTTAGCGTCGTCAATCTCTTGTAGAAAAATGTGCTAAATATGTGCGTGCGCTCGCGCTGAGGCTCCGGAATCAGCGTATTCCTCAGCCAGAGCAGGTAGAAATCAATGATGATGTCGTTGAGGTAGGACTCCTTGGTGAGGCACACGTAGTCCTCCATGCGGATGCACAGGCTGCCGGTTCCCTTCGGCGGATACATCAGCAGGCTGACCTGCTCGTCCGTTCTCAGTTGGCGCGGCGGCGGCTGGGAGCTCTTGTCCTGCGTCTTGCGATCAGAGTCCGCAATTCTCTCGAGGATCTCGGCGGCATCGGTGGAGGATATCTCGTCCACACAGTTGAACATGGACTTGATTATGCCGCGGGCAGACATGGATACGCTGTCGAAGAGCAGGATCAGGCGGCGAGTGTGAAAGCTGTGCGTCTTGAAGCCCATTTCTGGAATTGATAAATTTGATATTAATGGAGTAAAAAATGTGTACTAAAATGTAAGTGTACTTAAGGCTACGAAAGGAAATTGATAAGTAAAAACTCTCAAAAAAAGATATTGGGGATAAAAACAGTATTAACAAAATTTTGTAATTTAAATTTACAAAATAAATTTACAATTTAAATTCTCAAAAATAGATATTGGGTTCAGAAGTATTAACAAAATTTTTGTATTTAAATTTATCTTTTGCTGATTAATAAAATACAATTAATAAATCGTCACCAAAAACGGTTTGACATTTAAATCTAAACAAAAAAACGTACTAAGATTAAAAAAAACAAAGGACCTCTGTTAAAATGATAAATTATAATTATGTAAAAAATACAGATTCTCAAAAAAAAGAATATTTTGTAATTTAAATTTATGTTTTACTGATACATAAAATACAATTATTAAAGCGTCACCAAAAAAAATTTAAATCAAACCAAAAAAAAAACGTACTAAGATTGAAAAAACATTATTCATACTATTAAAATGTATGATAAATTATAATTTATTAAAATAAATTTAAAATAATTAATGAAAATCATAAAGCCCTCCAATAAGCAATTCTTAGGATCCTCACTACTACTAACTATGACACAATAAGACTATTTTGCATATACCGAAATATATTTTCCTCTTTTTTTCTGACAAAAGTAGTTACTATAGCTAAAGATCGTTAATTCTAGTGACTCACGTTCATTCGGCTGATCGTCGGGCAGTTGGAGCTGATTCTTGACATATTCGGCGCAGGTCTTGAGGAGATATAGCGTGACCAGCGGCTGGGCGGGCTCCACATTGCCGAAGTGGGCGATGACCTTGATCACTTCCTGCTTGTGGATGTGCAGCACGAACTTCTCGTCCTTGTCCTTCAGAATCCCAGCGATGCGAACGCCTTTCGAGGTGAAGGCCACCTGGGGAATACGAATAGGCGATTAGAAAAATGTATTATACACATTTCAAGGGCAGGGGAAGTGGTGAAGTAGGGGTAACGCCTTACCGGCTCCGTGATCTCGAATCTGTAGGGCACCAAACGCACGCAGCTGCATCTCAGGGATGTGGAAAACTGTTCCGTCTCGGCGATTTCAGACAAATCCGTAACATCGCTACGCCTGAAATCTGTGAGGGGTAAAAAGAAATCCGTAATTATACCATTTTCCTCGTGGCTGCCAGTCACATTTTTCCCCATCACTCGCGATTTTTCGACTTCCACCCCCGTTTACCTTCATCGATCATAGTCGCTAGTGTCTTTCAGCTAGTCTCTGTCGTTAAAATTCCTTATTAATAACAATTAAAATCTTGCAAAACTACGGAAAATTGCAAAAGAATGTGGAAAACGACGGTGTTTTCACGCATTCGCTTTGCGTTTCTGCTTCTTCTTCCTCTTCTTCTTCTTAGACGGACCGTAAAAATGGCGTGCTCTGGCTGGCGGTGGCGCCCTCTGGCGGGCTAATGGCGCAGCGCTTGTCCACCGGCATTGCCAACACGAAATAACTGCACACACAACATTGCTATGCAGCTGTGTGGCTAGCAGCTAGTTAATAGCCAAATCTAGCGCGAAAACAAACAGGTAGTGAAAAGTAGCTAAATGCTAATTACAATAAATTTACATTTATCAATTTGTTTTTAAGCGGATCTGAACTAATTTAAGGAAAATATATTCAAATAAAATGTTCAAATAAACTATTATTTCAAACTGTAAAACTATGTATCCCTGATTTTCTACATATAAGTATCTGATATCACTACTCTTTAGATAATTATTTTTTTTTGACAATTAATCAAATTCTAAAATCTATTTTTACTAAAAATTACTAGTTTATATTGATATGGAAAAAAAGATTTTTATCTAATATCACTACTCTTTAGATAAACATTTTTTGACATTTAATCAAATTCCAAAATCTATTTATAATAAAAATTACTATTGTTATGGGAAAATAGATTTTTAAGGTTTTTTAAATAAAAATATAGATTGCTATTAATAAATTCCCCTAGAAATGTTACCTCAGAATTTATTAAAAGTATATAAATAGCCTGACTGCCTGTAGAACTGCAAGAACTAACTTTTTCTTCGCGATATATATAAACACGAAAGAGAATCGACCAATCACAGATAGTATATATTATCTCAAGGCTATAATTAGGTTTTAGTCTTACCTTTGTACAAAGGTTCCTCATCGATCTCCGGAAGATTTGGTTCGCAGGCAAAGGCGGCGGAAAGTTCATGCAGATTGCCATTGGAGTTTAACTTAGAATTGTTATTCGGTTGCTTAAAAAAATAAAAAATCAATTACTATGATATAGTATATTATAAATATATTACAACTTACATTTCCCGAATCCGAATTTCCTTCACCCTCATCCGCCTCATCTTCGCTGCTCAGCAGCACCACGGGATCCACTTCGGCCACCCGTCTGCCGCCTCGAGCTCTTCCGCCCCGCATGGCCAACGATCCGCGTCCGCGTGCTCCAACTCCCACTCCAGTGTAGGCGACTCCTGCCATTTTTTGGCTAAACCGGGCAGCTGCCAGCTCGCGTTTCTTCTCCGCCGCCGAAGTGGCTGCCGTTACCGCTTCGCTGGATGATGAGGAAGCTGGCGAGGATGCGGCACTGTTCTTGGGCATGTAGGACTTCCGCTTCGGTGGCTCCGGGAAGACACGTTTGCACCGCTCGCAGCGGGCGTGATCCACTCCCGTGAAGCCGCACAGCTGGCAGACGGCCAGAAAGCCATCGATCAGTTTCCTGCCCTCCGAGGGAGCAGCTCCAGATGCTGCTGATGCTACCGCCGTTGTTCCAACTGAGGTATTTCCACTGGCCGCCGAACTGGCTGCCTCGCGTTTCGCCTGCTCGGCGGCGGCACTTGCTTGAGCGTAGGCCGGCGAGGGACTTGGATTGGGTTGAGGATTAGGATTAGCTGCCGCTGCTGGCGCTGCCTGGTTCTCCTGCGAACGATTCATCTGTAGGCTCTCCTCGGCGCGCGAAATCAGCTCGCTGGCCGATTCGTGCACGGTAAAGCCCACGGTTACGACAAAATCCACATTGGCACCGCGATGCTCGACACACTGAATGGTGGTGTTGTGGTCAAAGGGCACACCCACCTGCTCGAGGAGATCCTGCACCGTGCAGGATTCACGGGGCAGCGTGAATGTAATCAAACGCTGCTCGCCGCTTGCCAGGATGACCAACATCTTGGCGCTGTTCTTGTCGCGTTCGGCTATCTCCTGGCCGGCTCGATTGTTGAGTACATGTTGCGAGTGAATCTCGTAGTTGTTGTGCGAGGTTTTCATCACCGACGATCCCTGAGTGACGGCTGCGGGCGCCGGAAGTGGAGCCACCACAGCCGCGGGAACGGCTCTTTGCGGCTGCATGATTCTGGTTCCAGGTGGCAAACCTCCAGTGGGTTGTATCTTGGCCGTGGGACGTACGAGGGCTCCTGGAGCAGTGGGTCTCATGGCTGTCAGGCCGGGATTGGGTGGAGGCACTGGAGCAGGCGATGCCGAAAGAGTTTGCCTCTTTTTGTACTCCGCTAAAGTCATGCTGGCTCCACTGGCCGGGCGACTCTGCACCACCTGCTGCTGCTGCTGTTGCTCCTCCTCTTGCGCTGCAGCTCCGCCGCTTGGATAGTAAGTGGTTAGAGTAGTGCCCGTTCCAATCTGCATGGGCTGCACCGGCTGTGGCACCGGTTTCTGCTGCTCCTTCTTGAGCACCGCCGCCTGAATGCGCTCCTCCAGATCCATGCCTATGTTGCTCGACTGAACGGGCGAAGGAGAAGGAGCAGGAGCAGTGGGAGCAGGTGCCGGCACGGGTGATGTTACAGCGGAAGTTAGGGTTACAGGAGCTCGGTAGCGAATTGGAGCATGGCGCATCATTAGCATGTGCTGGTGCTGCTGCGGTTGCTGTTGCGACTGCTGCTGTTGCTGCTGCTGTTCGGTGACCATGTGAGTGCGGTAAATGTGACGCGGCTGCTGCTGCAATTGCTGTTGCGCCTGCTGCTGCTGCTGCTGTTGCGGCTGGCCGAGATTCGTGCTGATGGTTATGTGCTTCATTTGGGCCTGGGTCACAATTTGCATGGTGGGACCCTCACCGCTGGTTTGAACCACCAACTGCGCTCGAGTGGGTCGCACGCCTGCAGGACGCATATTCCTCACCATTCCGCCGGAAACTGCACCTCCCACCGCTCCTCCTCGCGGCCTCACTTGCCGTACAATCGTTGTGGGCGTGAGCGTGGGCCTGGTTGTTATCAGAGTTCCTGGTCTGGCCAAAACAGCGCCTCCTCGAGCGGATTTCCTAAAGGAAGCTCGCACAACCTGCGTTCCCCCGGCGGCTGTGGTGGTCACCAATTGCGGCTGCTGTTGCGCCACCAACTGAGGTTGCTGCTGCTGCTGCTGTTGCGGCTGCACCTTTTGCACCTGCAACTGCTGGTAGACCACGTTCTGCGTCTGCTGCGGAACCACACGCGCCTGAACCAAGTGGGCTGTTTGCGCCGTGGCCTGCAGTTGCATCTGCTGTTGCTGTTGCACCTGCTGTTGCTGCTGCTGCTGTTGCACCTGCTGTTGCTGCTGTACGTGCTGCTGGATGACGTGCTGTTGTTGCTGCTGCTGTTGTTGCGGTGAGGTGGCATAAACGACGCGATTGTTGTACGGATGGATGGCCGCCTGGCGCATAATCAGCTCCTGATGCTGCGGAGCTTGGATTAAAACCGGCTGCTGCTGGACAATTACGTGCGTGTTGTTGAGCATCTAAAGTGTAAATGTTGAAGTGATGGGAAAAACAAAGCCTGTATTAATCAGTAACTTACCCCCAAAGGTCTTTGTGGCTGCTGGGTGGTGGTCATGCGGTAGACGATCTGCTGATGCTGCTGCGGTTGCTGCTGGGCCGGCGATGTCTGCAGCTGCAGCGTTTGCGGCTGCTGTTGCGCCTGCTGCGGATGCTGCTGCTGCTGCTGGGGGCTCTGCAGCAATTGGGGTTGCCCTTGGGGCGAAGCCTGCACTTGGTAGGTGGGTGCATGCTGCTGATACTGCTGCTGTTGCTGCTGCTGTTGTTGCTGCAACACTTGCTGCTGCTTCTTCTGTTGCTGCATATGCTGTACAATGGCATTGGGCTGCAGAACCTGCTCGGAAGTGTAGTAAATCTGTTGCGTGTGCTGGATGGCGGGTTGCTGCTGCTGGTGCTGCACATATTGCTGCTGCTGCTGTTGCTGTTGCTCCAGGTGCAATTGTTGCTGCTGGGGATCTGGCTGCTGCTGATAGTGAACCTGCTGCACTTGATGCTGCTGGTGATGCATTACAACTTGTTGTTGCTGCTGCTGCTGTTGCTGCTGCTGCTGCTGCTGTTGGTGTTGCTGCTGCTGCTGGGCGAGATCGTCGCCTCCGATTATGTGGTATGTGGGTGCAGCCGACTGCTGGGGCTGTTGATATTGCGCAGGAGCCGCCGTTTGGTAGACAACTTGCTGCTGTTCGTTGAATACTAGTTGCTGGTCATCCTGCAGGACCAAGGACTAAAGGGAAAAGGGGGTTAGTTGAGTTTTTATAGAGGTTTCTTGATACTACTCACCCCCACCTCATCTTGGGGCACTTGCACTACCTGCAAATCCGAGTAGACGGGCTCCTCCAGGGGCACTATATATTGCTCCATTTTTAGGCTCCTATAAAAGGGTTTGAAAGAGAGAGTTAGATATTAAAATTATCACATTACTTATTATTATTATAATTTATTTTCATTACTTATTATTATTATTTATTCATATTACGTATTATTAGTATAATTTATTAATATTATTATTCTTATTTATTAGCATTATTAATTGTACTGCTCATTTTATTGAGTTACTTAAAATAAGTCCCTACAAAAAAATAATAAAATAATATATAAATATGAAATTTAAGATTATGATATTAATATTAATAATAATAGACCTGTTGAACTTTAAAACATAATTAAACCCTTTAAAATAGTTGTAGTCCTTTTTTTTACAAACTACTACTTGGATTTTTTTTATGTCGTGTTATAAAGACCTTGCGAAATTCCTCCACATATACTTTTCCAACCCAGGAACCTAGAACTACACGTTTTTATATAGAAAAACTCAAAAGGTAAATGAAAAAACCATATTGGACACGAATTTATCCCATTTAAATCAAATTCAATATACCATTTCTAGTCCCCTTTTGCAGGCGTCTCATTTTTGAGACATCTTTGCAGACCTCAAACACACATACAAAAACACATTTGGATAGTTAGAAATACAGCAATTCGTGAGTAGAAAACTAAAATATACTCAATTGCCCTATGAATAAACAAATTTCTAGCCAATTTGCGCTGCATATTTAACCTTTTTTAGGCAAATTTATTATACAATTACTGGGCATTTCTTGTGCCTCAGTTTTTTTTTTTGGTCGTATCGACACACACACACCTCCTTCGACTTTCCAAAAATGGCAACTTTGTAGCGCCGCTCGCTGTGCTCGCACCCCGAAACTATTGGTCCTCGATTAAATCATATTCGCGCTGGCTTTTCACAATAATCACACGTTAATTACTCGCGTTTTTGCTTGAAAATTCAGGCTTTCTTTCTTGCAATAAAAATGGCGTTCACAATGCAGGGCAGCATTTGGTGGATTTTTCGCATCTGGCAATGCCCGCACGCGGGCGCCACCTGGCGGCCTCGTCAGCTGTTTACAAACATTTTGCAGCGTTGCTTTGGGCCGCTGGTTTATCGATGTCTGCCTTGTGCCGTCCTCTTCGCCTAATATTTAGTGGTCCCTCTGTTTGGCATGTAGCCCGTTTAAAGGGACCACTAAACAATCGGGCCACTGGAGTTGGCTTAAAATCTTCGGATTTTCGCATTGAACGCGGTTTTCGAACGTTTGCCTTCATTTCGGTCGACATAATGGAGTTGTTTAGCGAAAGTCGAGTGATAACGTTTTTTTACGCCAGTTGATATCGCGGTTTTGAGCACTGTGTGTTTTGTTGTTTGCTGCGCGCTCTGGCGAATTGGGAGAAGAAGAAGAAGAGTGGCAACAACAACAAGAGCGGGAGGGGCAGAGATGGCAGAACGGCGATAGGCGGGAAAACGATAGGCCTGGAAATTGTGGGTGGAAAAAATCAAGTATTTGGGAAAATAATTAAACTATTATTATTAAAAGTGTACAAAAATTTTTAAAGCAGTCACGCATTAAGTATTTAAACTTTTGAGTTTATTTCTAAAAAAAAAAAAATTAATTAAAAAATTTTAAACTTATAAACACATTTTTTAGGTCGTTTTTATAAATAAATCTACTTGTCATAGCACAGAATAGTTTATTTTTAAGCCAGGTAGGAACTCTTTAATTTCATAATATCAGTAATTGTAAGAACAAAAATTTTAAGCCACCTATCGGTTTCTTCTATCGAAAGTGTTTGTATTTAGTTGCTCATCCCTAATTCCGCAGCTTTTATTTTAACAACAATGTCCAAAATATTTACGCCCACGAACCAAATACGCCTCACAAATGTCGCGATTGTGAGGCTAAAAAAGGGAGGTAAACGCTTCGAGATAGCCTGCTATAAGAACAAGGTCCTTTCCTGGCGGAGCAACAGGTAGGACTCGCTAAAACCAACACGTGCTCATGGTGAAATATGTTTTCCCTATATTTTACCATATAACGTTCCCACTTTTATAGCGAAAAGGACATAGATGAAGTGCTGCAGACCCACACAGTGTTCACCAATGTCTCCAAAGGACAGGCGGCCAAGAAGGACGAGTTGCAGAAGGCCTTCAATAAGACAGATGAAACGGAGATTTGCAAGGAGATCCTCAGCAAAGGGGAACTCCAGGTGTCGGAGAAGGAGCGCCAAAGTTGCCTGGACACCCAGTTGAATAGCATAGTCAACTCGGTGGCTGCCCTGTGCGTAAATCCCGAGACCCGTCGTCCATATCCCGCATCCATCATCGAGAAATCCCTGAAGGATGCCCACTTCTCGGTGAAGATGAACAGGAACACCAAGCAGAACACACTGGAGGCCATCAAGATGCTCAAGGATCACTTGCCCATCGAGAGATCGCGCATGAAGCTAAGGGTTAGCTTTGCAGGAAAGGAAGGAGGCGGCAAGCTGAAGGAATCGGTGGTCAAGTTGGCCAACAGCGTGGAGCACGAGGAATGGGAGGAGGCCACCTTGCATCTCACACTGCTCATCGATCCTGGGCAATATCGCGTCATCGATGAGCTGGTGAGGAACGAGACGAAGGGCAAGGGACTCCTGGAGCTGCTCGAACTCAAGGAAGTTGTCGAGAACGAGGAACTCTTTTAAAATAGGGTCATCCCCTAAAAATCATCTGTTTTTCCTGGTAAACTTTGTTGATATTTATGTGAAACATAAAAAAGAAAATGTGGAAATTATAGCGAGCCATATTTCTCTAAACAATTTTGTTTATATTGTTTGGAAGTATAGTTTCTGGTATTTATTGCTTCGTCTTTATTCTGCATTCGTAAGAAATTATTTGTTGATGCAAGTTGATCTGATAATGGTTGGGTAAACAATAAGTTTTCATAAACATTTCTAAAGTGCTGAGTTAACGATTTGAAATTTTAAAGCTTATCTTGGATTATTTATACAGGGGGAATATAAAAACTAACGCGCAGGATTACGAGTTCAACTGCCCAGCTACTTAATATAATTAAAAATGATCAAGAGTTCTTTACATATATGTGATTATTTATATAGAACTGGACCGAGATTATAACAAATATACTGTAGAATTAAAAGGTTGATCTGCTGCCCAGCATATTATTTTCGTTTCTTGAGGTTCTCAAAGCGCCGTGAGAGGTCATCAAAATCAATCTCTTCCTCGTCGTCCTTCTTAGCAGGACCTCCGCCAGGAATATCTGGCAGATCGTTGGGTACATTGGGCAGCGATGGGAAATCCAGCGCTGGAGGAGCACTTGGCAACGTGGGATTACCCGGCGGCAGCTTGGATCGGGGTTGTGGTTTGGGTTTGTTGGCATTCTGAGAAGGGAAAATAATAAAAGTTAATTTTTGCATTCATATTTTAAAGCCACAAGCCAGTAAGTGTAGGAAACCTTCTTTTTCTGATGTTAAAAAAGCTTTAAAAATAATAAAATCAGCCAAATATGATTTATATAACGTGTTATTTTTTAAGCAATTTTTTTTAAATAAAAATAAGTCAATTCCGAATTGTATAAATTTTCAGAAAAGACAGGTTTGGTACTGTGGAAACCATAAAAATATATAAGTGCTTGATTCGGGGTCAAATCCAATGTCCTGACCTGGAGATTTACGGGATTAATAGAGGTGTAACGCGGCGGCGGATCATTTTCGGGTTTGGGGCGCTGTCAAGCAAAATTAAAGAAAAAGATAAGGCAAATAAAAAATGATAACTCTGGGATAACAAATCAATAAGGCACATCGAGACAAGCGAGAAATGATAACAATTGGGCAGACAGTGGGCGGCAAACTATGAATCATTTGGATGACTGGACTTACACGCACAGTGGGCAATAGACAGGCCAACAGACGTCACACACAGATAAAGATTGGAGAGCAGTAGAACCCATGGAAGCGTTTGTCATTTGTTTAGTTATGTGGCAGAACGATAAGCAAGTTAGTTTTGGATTTAAGAGCAATCTACACAGAGTTAACCTACCAAAATATTCTCATCCGGGCTGCCCGAGTCATCCGTATTGTTCGATTCACGCTGCAACAGCCCAAAAATCATGCAAAACATGCCAAAACTTAACTAGGAACTATTTTTTTTTAGAGTTTCTTTACTTTTGTTTCAGTTGCGATCAGAATTGTATATATAATAGCCTCTAATGTTATTAATACTGAGGTTAAAAGCCAATAAGTACAAATTCTGACTCTAAATATACTTTCTTATTCTATTTAAAAATAAATTCAAACTACTTTTAAATTATTCCGATTGCAACTGTTAAAAGCAAAGCATTCCCTTTTCTCCTATATTGAAATAAAGAATTAAACAAGTATATTTACATTGATGAAGTTGGTGTTCAGATCCTTTTCCTCGGCGCATTTGGGAGGCAAAACTGCAGGCGGTGCCGGCTGATTGGGAGGTATGTTGTAGGCGAACGGCGGCGGTGGCTGCATGGGCTGATTATGGGGCAGAGCATAGGCTCCAGCGGGAGCACCATCTCCACCTCCACCACCTCCTCCTCCTCCGAAGTGTGGATAGTTAAAGGGCTTGACGCTTGGGGGTTCCGGCATATTGGGCAGTGGCGGCACTGCTGGATAGCCAATGAAACCCATTTGCGGTGGCGCTGCCCCACCACCACCTCCACTCAAGTTATTTCTATCTGATAAATCAATCAGATGCGGCTGCTGTGGCTGCTCCTCCTGCATGACCTGCGGATCCGGTTCGTACTCGATGTTGTAGTTCTTGGCAATGGCTATGAGGTACTTCTCCACCAGCAGCTTGGGCGGCGCCTGCAGCGTGAGCTTGTGCATCAGTTTCTCCGAAACGAAATGCTCGCCCGTCGCCGTTCGCGATTGCTCGGCGAACTGGGGCCCATATTTGGTTATAAATATATCCGATATGATCTTCAGCTCGGCTATATCGCTCTGTAGGCGGGGACACACCCACACCAGGCTGGCCACGGGCTCAGCTATCCCGGTGTCCAGCTCCTTCATCTGGGTGATGAGGCCAAAACGGGCGAGCAACAGGTCACAGTACATCTCCACCATTTCCATGGCCTCCACCAGGTAGTCCTCTCTGTTTTAGGATATATGTAGTGGGTTATATATATAGAGGCGGGTTCTTATAGGTGTTATATATAGTCCTTCACCCACCTTATAATGTGCTCCACGCGAATTCGTGCCCTCTCCGTTTTTCCCGTGGCCAAATAGTCGGCAATCTCCTTGCGCGACTTTTGCGTCAGCTCCGCCTTCTTCTTCTCCAGCAATTTCAGGCGATTCAGCGCCAATCGAAGATTGGTCTTCAGCTTGTTGTAGTTGGGGCCGCTGGAAAACATCCTAATTTCCTCCCTACGCAGACAATTAATTAATGAAAACAAGGAACTTCGTTTGGTTGTGGGTGATTCATTAACTCAATAGGGAAAAAACAATGTGACGTCACAAGCAGTGTGACCGTTTAGCGATGGGGAGGAAATGCCAAAAACAATTATACTTAAAATTTATTAGGGGATTCCCTAAACTGTTCTATTGCTGAATATTTTTGATCACCAATTCAAAAGGAAATACCCAAAACATTTTCACGATTAATATAAATCGATAAAAGAATCAAGGAAAAGTCCATCCCTAATTTGTCAGAGTTTAATTTTGTACTTCCCCGAATCAAGACAAAAGCGATCGAAAAGCTAAAAATGTCTCTGAAATTTAACGAAGCTCTTGAAGTTTTGGTAGAAAATCTATCAAAAACCATTAAACCTGAACAGCAAAGATACATGCAGGATGTCGACGAAATAACCAAGAAAATAGATCAGGAGCTTATCAATATTAATTCTATTTTCAAGGGTACAATCACAAAATGGGATCAAACTTGTAAGTCAAGAATTCTTGGAAGAACAAATCAATTAAAGTTGTTTTTCACAGAAGATAAAATGATTGATCAACAAAAATGCTTCATTTTCGTTTTTTCAAAATCCGCTTGTCAGCATTTTTCTTATTTTGTTTATTCTAACTACTCTTCCAATGGCTTCGATCAATTTGAACCATCCCCTCACATATATGAACATATGTATAAAAAAATGGATTTAAATCTTATTTTCTATATTAATTACATATAATATTTAATGTATATGGATGATATAATAATTTAAACTTTCTTTATTATAGTTATGTTCTGCGATAAGCCGTTTTCTAAAACACGGGTGCCTATTTTGTGGATTGACCTTCCATTTGCGGTAGAACCTCAGAAAGTTTTTGTTCACGATGACCCTAGATGCAGAATGTTTAATCTGAAGACGGTTGTAAATCATCCAGCCGTTCAGAATGGATTTGTGATCGGAAAACAGTTGATCTCTTTGTTCAGTTTTGATTTGAACAGAGCTATTGACAGAATGCACATTTTTACTTGTAAAAGCGGAAAGAAGTATAATATATCGTCTAACTTTGATAAGCCAAACAACCCAATATGTAAGATTGATGTCAAGGAATATAGCGCCCATGGCTTGGAGGAAAATATGTTATTATTTTATGAGTTTCATATCATGTTTAACTTCTCCAATGATAATTTTTTTTACGCATACATGAATAATTTCTTTCACCAAGTCGAAAAATCTAAGGTGGAGGCGAGTGGAAAAAAAGCCAACAAGTTGCTGACCAATGCTAAAAAACTTTTGATACAATTACAAGTTGTAGATAAATCACTGATGGTTCCAGCTGTAAATTTTGTACTGGATTGTACTGTTGATTTAAGTACAGTTTCCAATACCGGCGATACTTTGCTTTCGGTGAGTTTACTAAGCTTTAAATAAAATAAAAATGATCTTAATCTAAAATGTTTTTAATATCAGGCCATTAAACCCTTAATACCGTTGACCGGAACACCCGGGACCTTAATATATGTCCTCGGAAAATTATTGCAGTTCAAAGAATCGGACTCTGTTAAACTGCCAGAGCTAATGGAACTTTTTGGTTTGCAAAAATAATTCCAATGGATTTCCAGAAAGAATATGCATGCAACTTCTTCCTGACGAGGTTAAATATAATAATAACCTGAATAAAAAAAACTGTAATACTTAATCTTAATATTCACATTATATTCCTGAATAAATTGCATTGGCTTTATCACACATCATCTGCTCTCGTAAAGTTACTATGATTTTAGAAATTAACCGAAAAAAGAGTTAATTTAATTTTTAACCCAATCACATAATTATTATTTTTGTCAAAAAAATTAATAAACATTTCAATATCAATATGTTTTTAAAATATTAAATTAAAGTAATGGTACCTGGTCTAAAACGGTCTAAGAAACGTCTTATGGTTCATTTTTCCCTCAATAATTTAAAATATTCAACGAAAATTAACTGTATTGACATTCTTTATTACCAATAACTACAAGAATAGCGCGCCTAAATAAGAGTGATTAAAAACGGATTTTGTATGGAAAAACTGATTAAAAATTCCCCAAAAATTAAACTTTTCAGCAATTCAAAAGTTTAGGGAAAAAAACTTTCATTACCCATTTCCCTAAATAAAAAAATTAAAATTCTATTTAACACTGGTGATTTTACACACATCTTATTTTTTAATGGATGTTCATTTTAATTTTAAAAGTAACATCATTGACCAAGTGATTTGTAGATACATTTCAAAAATTAATAGTTTTCAAAAATGTAAATGGATTTTAAATGAACGCACTTCCTATTAAACCGCAGGCTGCTGGAACACCAACATGAACGTGACGATGCTCCATGCTCCCAAAGGTCAAAAAAGACCCCAATAGAATGCCTACAAGAAAATAAGTCCATTTTCCGAATCCGAAACCGCTGGAATCATCGGTCTTGGGCGGCAATGAGAAGTGCGTTATTACGTGTGCTTGAGGATCCCAGGATCGAGGCACTTGCAGCACCACGTAGCGTTCCTCGTTTGAATCGTTCATTGTATTACTGCAATCGGAAATAGGCTTAGTTTTAAGATCGGAAAATATAATTATTTTTATGTTTACCTTTAAATGCGATCGAGGAAAACCGGGAAGTCCCGCAATTTCGTAGAAGACGCTGTGTGATATCAAGTAGAGCTGTGAAAACATCGATGGAACAATCGATACTATCGAGTAAGGGCCTTTCGGCGGCAAAATCGAGGTTTTTTCAACTGTCACGATACTATCGGTCTGCATATGGAATGAAAACATCGATGCATCGGTGTTTTAAAATGTATTATTTATATATTTTGTTGGTTGGATTTGTCGGCACACAGTATTATTTATTTTATTCAGACTTGATGACACTTTAAAAATGAATGGAAACAAGGACTGCGGACCTGCTGTTAATGGCCGCGGAATACACCCTCCCATCCTTGAGCTGATGTACCTTTCAATCAACTCCCCGACACTGGATACTGGGTCTTTTACGCGTCACCTCACCCCATTTTTAACTCTCTACTCGCTCATTTTTCTTTTCCACTTTAATTCACAAAGTTCATATAAATAACATTCATTTCTTAACAATTCCCTAACCTGGGTACCACAGGGACGATTACATCACACATGAATAAATAGTTATACGTATAAATAAATGAATAAATAATATATATATATATAGGGTTACATTAATATTTTAATTTAGTAGAAGCAGATTCGTAGTTTGTAGTTTGTAGTTTGTGGTTTGTGGTTATTGTTGATTATTATATGGTTTTATTAACTTTAACACTAAACTTAAAATAAAAAACCTGGCACCACCCAGATGTGGGCGGCGATAATCAATTTTCCTATGGTTTCCTCCAAGTTTAATTCCTTTTCCTCGCAGACTCCCAGACTTTGAATTTGGCGCCGGAAGATTGGAATTTTTTTTCCCACAGGCACGACTACTCTGTCTCCGCTTCTAGATGGGTCTCATTTGCCCTTTAGTTGCCCTTCTTGTAAGTCGGCTCAATTCCATTTTCGAGAGAGAGTTTTCCGAAATTTAAACCTAGCTTAAGCCCACTATTCTACTAGTTCCGCCACGAACCAGCACGACTCCGGAACCAGTTCTCCATTCCCAGGCCATCCCTAGTATCGGCATCTGTTGCTCCTCTCTAACCCAGGTACGCGGTCGTTTGGTATGTTTTGATTTTGTTAATGCTTATTTTCTTTATTTCTGGCAGACCATAACACCACACTACGGTTTCGTTTACTTGTCAATGGAACAGGAGTACCATTGAGGCTGCCAGTAGCCCAACGCAGGCCACGCCCACGCCCTGAGATATATTCGTCCTGCCGCTTTGAAAGGGTTAGCCGGGCCATTACTTGGGTACGTATTTGCACGTATGTATGTACCTATGCTGCAATTATTGTTTCAAATCTTTTGCATGAAATACTCCCAATCGTTTCCCTTGTAATGTTTCCAGCTCATATAGGTTATTCCCTACGGGTCTTACTATGCGGCACTTGAAGTACTTGCGGCAAAACTTTGCATTTATGTTGTTCTTGAAATCGCTGAGGATGAAGTTTCGCTTAAAGATTTCTTGGCCAGGTAGGTACTTGATTTCTTTAGCTCTTCTATTGTATTGTTTGGCTGATCTCTCATATGTTTCATTAATGCGTTCTGTTACCTTTTCTCTTATTAGTTGAAGCCGATCCGTTCGAGATAGACTCTGTATCTGGGCGTCGTTTACGGCGTCTAGTTTTCGGGCTATCCTATAATCTTGCCCGCTCAGGAACATGTGTTGGCCAAACATGGCAAAGTATGGGGAGACACCAGTGCTATTGTGAACGGCACTTCGCAGAGAACCTTGAATCTCGACTATCTTGTCATCCCAACGTGTGTGGTCTTCCCCTACATGGATCCTAATAGCTGCAAGTACGGATTGGTTCACGCGCTCTGAGGCATTCGACTGTGGAGCATACCTGCCGGTCCTCTTATGACGAATTTGATACTTCTCCAGGAAACTTTGAAACCGGCTTGCTACAAACTGGACTCCGTTGTCGGTGAGTATTACCTCTGGAACACCAAACTCATGCCATATTTCCGACTCCAGATATCTGACGACTGCGTCTGCTGTCGCTTTTGGCATTGCTTTCAACCAAACGAACTTCGTCAGATGATCCAGCACTACCAATATGTAGCAGTTGCCCCTTTTTGACCGTGGATATTTTCCCAGGAAATCCATATACAGCTGCTGCATGGGTCGTGAGGTGATTGTTTGTTTGCCCATTCTCGGCCTAGTCATCTGGGTTGTGTGTTTGGTTTCCTTGCAGATGTTGCAGTCTTTCACATAGTTTTTCACCTGGATTGCCATCTTGGGCCAGTAGTAGAACTGCCTAAGCCTGTTAAGCGTGCGACCTATGCCTCCATGCATCGCGGTATCGCTGTCGTGTGCTTGCTGGATTAAAGTATTAGTTAACGCTTCCGGAATCCACAGCTTCCACGGAAATTCCTGTGTGTCCCCGGTCACAAAGTCTACTCGCTTGAGCAAGAGGCCGT